GGATAGAGGCTTCCAGAGCACATGTCAAATGGCACATAAACATATAAACATAAGTGCTTCATGATTCCTAAAACACTTCACATGATAGGGGCTTCATAATCCTTTATTTATCTCCACATGGATAGGGGCTTCATGATCATCTTCACATGAATGATCATACGATTGGAGCTTCATAATCCATTATACATCTTCACATGATAGGGGCTTCATGATCCATATACATGTGAAGATGGTCTATATCATGACTTGTAAAGATGGTCTATATCTTGGACTGTAAAGATGGTCTATATCTTGAACTGTGAAGATGGTCTATATCTTGAACTGTGAAGATGGTCTATATCTTGGCTTGTGAAGATGGTCTATATCTTGGACTGTGAAGATGTCCAATGCCCCATATTGAAGTAACTGTAACCACAAGCCTAATTTAAATTGTAAATTTCATTGAAAACCTGTAGGCCGTGTAATAGGCCACCATTGACTGGACTTGAAACTGGCCTATATAATGAATGTCCTATGTTGATTTCTGTCTTTGTAGCTGAATTTAAATTACTGGTGACCAGCCATGCTGAAAATCAACATTTTATTTTGTTGTCTCAAGTTAAAATTTAGCTGATCTTGTAATGTGAGTAGACTTTCTAGCAGAACCCTGACAGCATTAAGGTTTAAAGCAGTAGGGGAACAGGAGAGGGGGGGGGGGAGGCATTTCCATTCTCATTTGTACCCCAATTTCATTTCTTAGAACTTGCTCTTGCAACTATATTGACAAACTCTACAGCACGTAAACCCCCACCATACAACAAAAAGGGGATTTAAACCCAACAGCGCCTAAAACTTCACCATACTTTATGAGGGTATTGAACTCAACTATAATAGGTACATTACGTGACTATAGTTAATACATTAACAAACTACATAGGGTATTTGACTATTTAATCCTTAATATAGGTCTAGAAAAACATAATATATCAAGTGTCATGATCAAACACCAAACCTAAATATAAAATGGCATTTAGTGCAAAGTTTGGAGTCGACTAAGAAAGTATTTTAAAATTTGGGAAAGTTATATTTAGAATTTTAGGTGAAGGGCCTTAGAGGCAACTTGCTAAAGCACTGGTTGAGGATTCCGAAATTGGACAGATTCAAACCTATGGCACCAGTACCTAATAACAGTAATAAGCCGGAACTTACACCAAACCAATGGTGGTGGGTTCTAATCTTGGTAGGCATGTGAAAGTCCAATGATGACATTGAATAAGTCATCTTCACTCATAATTCTACTGAAACTAATTGTAAATGAGTAGGGATAATTCGCAAAAGATCAATTCCAAGAAGTTTGACCAAGGACCAGCTGATAAAAAGGCATATATGCAAGTATATGAGTAGGCCTAAGACAGGACTGAAATTGCTTAAAAAATTTCAATATATACTACTACTTCTATTATACTAGGAATTAATAACATATTTACTGCTGGATCAAGGGCTAGACCAACTCGTAAACCTTCAAGACATCATTTTACCTATCTAACAACTATAGGAATTTATAACATCTGTATATTTGTCTAATAGAAATACCAAGTTTAAATAGGTCAGAGGTCAATGTTTGTATAGTCTTGGTCAGTCTTGACCTATTTTCTATCTGATTTAATGTTCTTCTCACTTCAACATGGTTTGTATCTTGTCATGGTTAGGCTGATCTGCCCCCCAGCCTTTGATGTTTAGGGCTACTGACATCCCTCCCATTTCCCATCTTAAGCAGGAATATTTTCACATGTTTTAAGGGATGGCTAGTGTTTTAGTGTACACTGATAGCATCAATATCCATCATGGGTCTTGCAATTCTACTTAAACTAAGCGTTTCATGGTGTGGCTATCACAAAGGCCCATGGCAATAGTATTATATATGCATTTCAGCAGTTCCAAATCACAAGAACACCCCTTTACAATCCCTTTAAGTGTGAGTAACAGACTTTAAATACAAGATTGAGAGGCATATCAGACCAACCACACCACAATATTTTTGAGTATTTGTGAATCAAACAGATCAGTCTATCATTCTCAAGTAGTGTGTAAAGTATAGAGTACTTGACAACTGACCACAGAGGTTAGATAAATTGAAACAGATCAAAATCAAGCTGTAACACCATCCATTTCATAAATACAACTCAATGACTAGACTAAGAAATATAAGCAGCAAATTGTAGTGTGCAATGAGGGAAATTTTGACAACTGCCCACAGGTTAGACAAATTGAAACAGCTTTTAAAAATATATTTCGAGCTGATATGGACAGTCAACACCATGCAGTGTTGAATGATGCACATTTTCTAGGGACAGCTGTACATGTCTGCACAAATGCATACCCATCTGAACTACCTGTTGCCAATAAAGTCCAAAAACTCCATCTGTATTTATTTCATCCATTTTGTAGGCACACCTGATGGCAATCTACAACTGGGATATGCCAAATATGGTCTTGGATAAAAACACCATCTCTCTCCAAAGGGTCATTTGAAATTCTACAATACAAATACAAAATCCAAGTCAAAACACCAAAAATCACTGACATGTCAAAAGCAGACAAGGATAAAGATAATGAAGTCAAAAGCAATGATGAGTATCTTTTTTCACCTATAAAGAAATCTGATATAACCTATGTAATCTTAGTATATCCATTCTCAACACAAACCATCTTATTTACACCTCATATAAACCTTTTAAAATATCTCTTCTGTCACAAGTTAATCTGATTTAGATCACAGTAAATCTCTGCCATCTTGAAAATGTCGTGTCCGTCTGCTTCAAAATGAATAGTAACAATTCAAGTGTGGAAACTTCTGATACTTTTCAGTCTCAAATGTGCATCACGAGGAAATATGGTTTGTTTAAGGCATCCATGTAAATGTTCTGTCTGTTAGCCCCACCCCAACTCAAATGCCCCACCCATATATGGGAGTCTGGGCCAATCTCTAATGCCCAACCAATTTCTGTAAGTCCCACCCCTTCTCTGTAAGTTTCTCCCTATAAATGTAAACCTGAAACCATCTCTGTCAGCTTTACTAATCTCTGTATGCCCCCCCCCCCTGTCTCTGTAAGAACAATGCCCCACCCTGTCTCTTCCTGTCACTGTAAAAACCACCCTGTCTCTGTAAGAACCAACGTCTCTGTAAGAACCACCTTGTATCTGTAAGAACAATGCCCCACCCTGTCTCTGTAAAAACCACCGTCTCTGTAAGATGCACCCTTTCTCTGTAAGAACCATCTGTCTCTGTAACAGCCACCCTTTCCCTATAAGTATAACCACCTCTAACAGCCACACCCAATCTGTAATACTACCAAATCTTGAATGCCCATAACCCATCTTTAAATTTATCAAAAAAAAAACAAATTAAACCAACTGTCTAATAGTAATCTAGTGGGTATTAAAGCTAATGTTTTAGATGTCAAAAGAAATAACTGTGTATATTTACAGTGTCTGGTGTCTGCCTGCCTGCCTGTCACTACAGCCAACTCACACCACTGACTTCACCTAATGTCATGTTACACAAAAAGGTTAAAGATCATTCTCATGTTTAACTTGAAAATGAAAAATAAAGTTTAAAAAACTCGACACTAGTTGACTATCCGCTATCTTGAACCATTTTATATCTTTCAAGCAAACACTCTACGAGCAGCACAAGAGGCCAATATTGATTGAGAAGAAATAAAACCAATTCTCGTACATAAGCTCAAAGCATAAAACATTTGTCTAGTGTTGCAGGCATTTGTACCTTTTTAGCTAGCAGATGACATGCAAATGTCCATGAAAAGCGCTATATGGTGCATCAGAGAAAACAATATCACAGATTCTGCTTAAATGTTCTTTTCTATTGGCTCTAACCATATCCATCGTTAGGGTGGGGTCCGTGGAGGCTGAGCCCCAGCAAGTGAGAGTTTAGCCCCAGCAAAATCTTCTTCAGTTCAGCAGGGTTAGGGATTGATTCATTTACAATGTCTTTGTACAA